GACACACACTGAGCAACTGCTTACAGCCATCACCCCCACCATGGGTTTTCTTCCTGTTCCTCCTGGGTTCCATAACCCAGCCAAAACCCAGAGCTGCTCCCACTGACAGCAAGAAATTCACTCCCAAAATTCAGCGCTAGCACAACTGACCGCCAAAAGAAAAGCCAAAACACATCTAAAAACCTCAAACTTAAATTAGAAATTGTATCCTAGGCTGCTGAAAAATAGATTTCCTATTGCAGTACTACAATGCCACATTCTAATACTGTGCTGAATTTATAAAGAAATAGTATTACAAAGCCTGCTGGAAACACTCACAAGCTTTAACTCAAATATCTTCTACAAAGAGGGAGCAGGGCTCTTCTGCTGTAGTCCTGGCAGAGTCAGGTAGCTTCGCCCAGCATGTTTTGTTTGGTTGGTTTCTAAATAAAGTGATGTAGGAGAGCAAGTAATTTTTAATTGCAACCAAATTAAGTATTTTCTACTCCTAATAAGTATCAGATTTTTAAGACAGGTTAAATTAAAAACTTCTGTTGTATGTATTCAGGGCTTAAACCCCATGAGATAACATGTGGATACACCAGTGCTGCAGCAACATCCAGAGATGGTGAGGACTCCACGTGGGGAGCACAGTGAGCGACAGCCTGTCACAGAACAAGAGCAGAAGGGATGAAAGCCACAGAGAGATGGAAAAATAATGAAGATGGGAAGACAAACAAGAGCCCAGCTGGTCCCTAACCAGCACTAGGCTGCAGCTCCCAGCACAGTCCAGTAGCAGCTGTTTGCATGGTGGGCGAGTAGAGGTTTCAGAGTGACTGGGGCGAGCAGAGACGGGACGGGGATGTCTCAGTGCACGGCTCTGCTGGAGAGGGCAGCGAAGTGCTTCTGTGCGGGACTGCTGGGGGTAGGTGACCTTGCAGGAGACAAGTCACCTCACTGAGCCCATGCCTGGCCCAGGGCAGCTGTGGGAGGCAAAGGGCAGTGCAGGTGGGGGTGGTTTGGGCAGACACCCCTTTGAGAAGGGAGCAAGGCAAGAGCCCACTGAAGAGCAATGACATTTGTCCATGTCCACCTGTTTTGTTCTTTACCCTGGACTATAAGCTTTCGGTCTCTCCACTTCGGTGTGTATCCGCAAAGCCCAGCTGGGGCCGGATCTGCAGCTCCATCCCCCCTCACACTACAGCAACACAAACACAACCGGACAGCTCTGGTGCCACCAGGGTGGCTGAGTGACACCAGGTCAGGAACACAGACACGGCCACCGCCTCGTCACAAACACAGGAGCACTGCTGGGACTTCAAAGGCACAGAAAACCAAGGTTCACTTACATGGAAAACGAGTGGCTTACACAGACGTATGTGAAAAACCAAATGCTTTAATCCATCTATCAAGAACAACAGTTCAAATTATTTCATTGGATACATTAATATTGATCCATAATTTACAGTGCTATGGACCATACACAAATTATTGCTGCAGTCAACAGCAGATGAATATCAACATTACAGTACCAAGCATCATAGCAAGAGGCAGTAATTAATGTCACTTTTTCAAGAAATATAGGTATTTATACTACTATCAACATCAGCTTCCCCCCCAGTGCATTTTATGTCAAACAACATAAATGTAAGTGCATTATTTTGTGCTTTGTGCTTTCCTTATGTACCTTCTTTTTGCTTTTACAGGTTGTAAGAGTTAAATATTGCTTTGTAGGCCAAAAGCAGTAAGGAAGAACTTCACGGTACTCTGCATGTTCCTGCCTGTTGCGTGGCTTTGGCAAAGTGAGAACTGGGAGGTATCCTGTCCACCCACTCCAGGAAACCACCGCTGGCCCAGTGTCACACAAGACACCACCATCAGACTGGGCAACAATTCTGTCCATCTCACTCCTCCTAGTTCATGCTGAACCCTGCCTCTAATTGCAATCTCTGTCCTCTGCCATTGTTCCCCTGTGAAATGTCACAGCTTCACATTCCATGATGCACCAACAAGCAAAGACATCTACAGTTCACACTCGCCTGGAGGTTTGTGTCCCCTAGAAATGTGTCCACTGCAGCGTCAACGTGCTTCCACTCCAAGCGTGGGCAAGCTCAGAGGAGGGCTGCAGCCTAAGGAAACACAGGGTGAAGTCAGCAGGGCTCAGCTGAACCATACATTATCCCAGAGCAACACAATGTATTGGGAACACCCCACGCAGATGCTGGGGCCACAGACACTCGTTATCAAGAAATCCAGCTCTTGATGTAATGGTTTTCCTTGAATCCTAACTCATTTCCACACAGCATGGAGACAAAAATCAGAAGTCATAGCTGTCAGCGAGTACCAGTGTTTCACATAAGCTTGAAAAATATTTATATACCACAGTCTAGACTTCCATTTCTGAATGTCCAGCATGGGCATCAAACCAAAAGCCTTGTCCAATATACTTAGTGGTTTTCAGTTACTACACTCAAGCGTGCACACCCTGATTTTGTACAATGCGCAGAGCTGTCCCATTTTGATGGGGAAGGGTAATGCAACCCTGTGTTACACCTACCAGCCTTTCACAGCCCTGATTTTCTCTACCTGTCACCATTACCAAACGGCAGCACCAGAAGCCTGTACCCACATACCTGACTCGGAGCTGACTACAGCACAGCTGCCTTGCGGGGAATTTCCCTGCCCAAGGACCATGATGGCTGCAGCACATCCTGCAGGCTCCCAGGTCCTGCCCTGGACCGGAGCTTCACTACCCTAGGAAAGACACATTCCCAAACACTGTCTGGGGTGGGGGGGAGAGGCATCATTCCAATCTAACTCCAGCTTCTCCTTCAAAAAATAAAAAAAAGGGGAAAAAAAAAAGCTACAACCTGGCGGTTGCACCAATGCTAACACAGGGCTTGCTGCTCAAGCAGAAACGAAGACAGCTGGATGCAGCCAGCAACAGCCACAGAAAGAGCAACACGAATGTGAAGCCCAAAGTACCGTAACAGCAAGATGTGTCCCCACCGAGCCCTGCACCCCTCGCCATCAGCGCTGCGAGGAGTGGGACAGGGCTGGGGACGCTTCAAGAACCCTTCCATGGGGAAACGTTTGGGTGAAAGCTCAGCGAGCCATGCTGCAGGCTCTAGGAACTCCTTACATTGTCCTCAGCTGTCCCATTGCTACCCAATTCACATTTGATTTCTGAACACCAACTGCCGCGACCAAGGTTTCCTTTTAAAGCCTGCCAAACTGGCGCTCAAGTCACTCACCGTTTCACTGATCCTATGTAATTTCCAGTGTAGCACAAAGGAGAACGGGAAGCTCTTGTTTTCTATACGTAGGCACCTTGCTACACTTCAACATCCTATAACACATCACCCTAAAGCTCTCTCCTATGCCACACTTCAGTCAGTGCTAGTCGAGGAAGACTACAACTAGAGTTTAAGGCACTTCATTCTGAACAAGATACGTTGCCTGCTGCTTGCGAGTCAGCTGGAGGCTGCTATTGAGAAATCCATTCAATCCATCTCGCTCATAACACCACAGGTCACCTCTGTAAAACACCTAGGCTTGATATAATACAAGTATAACTACCGTTATTGCATAGGACTACACTTGAGTAGATAATGCACCAAACTACTTTTACAACATTGTTGCATGTTAAAAATTAATAACATTGTTATCAAGTAACAGTTATTTGCAGATACAGTAATTTACTCTTTTTTTTTTTATCTTATGTCAGCCCCAGTGCTGAAATAAAACACAAATTACTATAACGGGTATATTAACTACATAGTTATGTTTCCAAGCATATTACTACTTTTTTCTGTACCACTAGAAATAAATATGTAAGTTCAGTTTCTCTACAGAATTGTTTTATTACCTAATCTAAATTTGTACTCTACCATAAATGTGTTTAAAAACATTTTCAAAGTGAGACTGTAATATACAAAATATTCTCAAAATCTCTCCTAAAACACAGAACCCTGCATAAAAGCTTCCTTTCAAGTGTTTACAAAGAATGCAGAAAACTTCCAATGAGTTTCAAAAATGTCAAAAAATTGTTGCAATATTGAGCGGCAAAAATCTTACAAATGAAATACAAATATATTTAAAACAAGAAGTTGAGGATAACTAAGGAATCCATGCAAATCAAAATAAACTGTACAATGCAATTTAAAAAAAATAAAGCCAATTAGTTATGTACAACATAATGTGCCCAGCTGATCAAAACGTATCAATTTTTTTTTGTCCAAAGAGTGTATACCAACTTACAGTGCTCCTGCTTGGTTTACTGTTGGCAAGCCATCAACACAGGTTACAAAACAAAATAAAAATCTAAGAGAAAAACTCGAACCATGATCAAAGGAAAACCCAAATCAGCTCAGAGTAAAATTAAATGGCACTCTGAGAAAGAGACTAGCATCTCCCTGCAATTTGCAGCAACAGCTTTTTATATCACAATCAACACAATCAGGATGTCTTAACACTTTTGTTTGTTTGTATTCCGAGTGGAGTAGAGTGGGTATTTTCCCTAAACACTTGTCATGTAAAGACCGACTGTGAGGGACACTGTATCTTTAAGGCAGCACTATTCAATTAATACCATTACAAATGGACTTTTTTTTTTTTGTTTCTTTACATTCTTTAACTTTACATTTTGTTTCCAAGTAAATAGGTTGTATTTACAATTCTATGATTCCCCCTCCCCCCGGTAGAAACAGACTCTTCATTTGTAATTCTATTGCTTTGAGGAGATTTGACCAGTTCAAAGTTCTTGGCGAATCCAGTTCACAGATACTGTACATATCCTGTACAATATTTTGGAGGCATTGGTAGATTTAAAATAGAATATACAAGTTTCTTCACAAAAATTCTAAAAAAAATCCTATATATATAATATATACACACACGCACACACACTGGGCTACTGATGAAGCACAAGGGAAAAAAATCAAAAAATTCTACAAAAGGTAAATTATTTCATCTACTGATCAAGAAACAAAGCAGTTTATGAAAGGTGTGCCAAGTATATGCTAACAAGCATGATCAGTGTCCTCCATGCTCACACTGCTCCTCCTGCTACTCGTCTTCGATGCTCCAGGAGACACAGAGGAAAGTAGCGGGTCAGTTACTCCAACGGGGGAGAGGGTATCGTCCATCAAGATATCTTCCAGTTTGGATCCCATTTTTGCAGGAACGCTGTACGTGCCGGTCGGTTCAGTCACATTTCCAAGGTTGTCACTGAAAGTGATGGTACCGTCAGTGAGATCGAGGGTGGTAGTGCAAGACAGGTCTGTGTGGTGCGGCATGATGTCTTGGTTGCAGTTGTCCAGCACGGGCTCTTGTTTGATGACCCTGTTGACCATATCAGGGGAACAAAGGCCTGTAGATGGAACAAGGGACAGTCCGTGTGCCCGAGCTTGCATCTCAAGTTCCTGTGAAGGAGGATACGGGACAAATTAAAAAAAAAACCTGAAAGCTAAATCTGTCATCTTACGCTCTTAGGTACACTATTTTCTTGAAGAGGTGGGTGAGCATCACCACACACAAGTCCTTCACACTTCTCAGAACCCACACCAGAGCCAAAACCCAGTGCCCCCATTTTCCCTCGGGTCCCTTCTCAAACCAGCGCCACGGTAGGCAAGTTCGGCATCAGGTGAGGTGAGGAAAGCATTTATAAGTTGTGGGAAAAAAATGAAATAGCAGAAGCATACACTTAGTACTGTTAAAAAGAAGTCATATGTGAAAGCATAGCACATCTATATGATCCTTGTCATTTCCTGCTGTGCCACTGGAAGGGACATTTCTCATTCTACAAGTCTGGTAGAGTTGGAAGTAAAGAGGTCAGCCAAAACTGAGCAACACTATTCCTGCACTGAAAAATTACAGGCAAGTCATAGGAAGGCTTTAGACTTCACACACAGCCAGGGTTCTTCGAAGCGTCATGAAAAGTTTAAGCCTCACCTTCATGTTTAATCACATAGATGCACTTGACAGACAGCAGATAACAGAAGAATTCACTTAAATGCCCTCTTTTAAATGCAGCAGTAAGAGACATGTTCTGCTTTTACTTATGCATTATACCGGGCCAATCACAATCACTTTTGTGATTTCACCGCTTCTGGATATCCCTAACACCGAGGTTGATTAATAGCCTTTTTTCCATTTTCAAGCCAAGACAACAAGCTTGTAATGGCACACAGCAAGATCAATGAAGAAGGTGGAAGAAGGAAGCACTTCTTCCATCAGTTAATGTGCCAAAAATCTGAGGCTCCTCATTCTGTGCTCAATCAGAATCAACAAAAAAAAGGTAAAATACAGACTTCAGCTTATTTGCTGCCAGATACATGGTTATTCAAGGGTCTGGCTTTTATGTTATTTTGACTGAAGGAGGAGCCAGAGCAGATAGATAATGCAAAGTAAGATAAAAGATGCTTAAAAACTGATCTGCCTTAGCTTTGAAATACCACATCTTGATGTTCCTCTGCAGAAGGGTCATGCATCTTTATTGTCTCACTCGGGCAAACAGATTGCTCAATGTACAAAAACTGCACTGAAGCTCATCCCAGCCCTTTCTATTTTAAAGCTGTTTACTGCCACGCTTGACTCCCAGGTATTTCTAGTTTCATTATCTACTTTGTGGATTAGCTGTGCCGTGGTTCAAGGGTCTCCCGATACAGCAGCCAGCCTGGCACACTGCAGCCTGCACGCAGAGCTCAGCTGTTCGCACTGCAGGTGAGGAGCAACATGAGAGTATCTGGGACATCACTGTCTGCGTGTAATGTGTCCTTACACCCAATTCTAGATACACTTCTTTAATCACCCTTTTATGGAGAGGGTTGGATATTCAGCTATCTTTGCCCACCTGGAGAACCAAGTTGACATCAAAAGCTGTGTAGGCTCGAAGGCTAAGGCTTCCCACCCATCTTAAGGTGAAGGCAAAGGAATTAGAGAAACGGAGTTCTCACCCCTAAATCTCTGTGTAACCCAGGCTATTGGGAATGTGGGTGAATCTAACAAGGCAACAGCCCACAGAGAAAACATTCATTACACCTACTGCTTTTCAGTGTTGAGAAGAACCATTTTACAGTCCTACAGACTTCAAGGAACAAGGAAGACAACCAACCATAGCTTCTCAGACAAAAAAAAAAAAAAAAAAAAAAAAAACACAGCTCCATGTCCATAGCTCTTGGCTGTCTTGCTGCAAAAACTCTTGGAGCACTTGCATTAGGCGTGCTTCTCTGCAAATGCTCTCAGACAAGCCTGGGCTGCCTCAACACTAAATAGAGCCACCAGCCCCCAAGTTACCCACAGGGAACTCAAAATATGATGCTGCAGTGTCTGTCACCCTCCCCACCTGTTTTGTCCTGTGAGCAGTGTTTACCCTCCACCAGAAAGCAGATGACAGATTCCTGTAGAGCATCATGGAGATGCAGATCAAGATGAGAAGAAGAAACCAGATGTAGAAGACTGCAACCTGTAAAGCTTCTCTGACAGATAAGGCCTAGATTGGTCCCCACACAATTTAGAAAACCCACAAGCAAAACAGATTTCATTTATTGCTACCCATCTGAAACTGCTTCAGAAGAAAAGAAAACAGGCACTAAAGCTACAGGTCAAAAAACCTCCACAAACAAGACAACTACAGTGAACATACTCCCAAACAGCTGAACTAAATTTGATCATTATCAACAAATAAATCATATATGAGGTCCCAATTCCCCAATTTAGGTCTGACACACACACAAAATATATATTACCATATAGATCTTTCTTATAGTATGGTTTGTAACTTATGCTGGCCATAGTACAACAAAAGTAGACCAGTCAAAAGTGCTTTACTGGAGTGCTGGGGTTTTTGTTGTTGTTGCTTTGAGTTTTTTTTTTTAAACTAATGTATTCTGAGTTTTTTTTCTGGAAAAATCTCTGAAGACACTTCTGCAGTGATCACCGTTTATCAAAATGGTGGTTCACTCTAACCCACATTCCTACAAACAGGCTTCAGTTACTATTATTTGCAGTCACACACTGCAACGTCAGGAGCGTTTGCAGCTTATTTATCAGCAAACCTGTATTCTGAGCAGCAGGTGCCTGTTGGCATGTTCCAACTTCTTCTGTCTGTTCTCAAGCTCCTTCGTGCGTTGCTGCTCTCTTTGCAGCTTACGGATGTAATCCACTGACGCTTTTAGAATAGTTCCCTTATTCCAGCGCATATCCCTTCGAAATCAATAAAAAAGGAAGAGTTATATGATTACACCTCACACATACATAACACCTGGCTAATACTTGCTCCAAGTTTACGAATGCAGAAGGCATTTGAAATGCACTAGAGGGGGCCAGAGTACAGCTATTGCACAGCAGACTGCAGCCAGCCCTGGCCCCCCATAGCCCTCCCCCCAGGGCCAACTCCCTGCCTTCTGCACTGTTTGGGACCAGCACTGTGCAGGGCGACTGAAGACCTGGGGCTCCTTTCATTGTGTCATGGCAAGGCTGCAAGACAAAACAGAGCAAACCCCACAAAACTCTTTGCAGCCACCGTAGGGCTTGTCATCTGGGTGATGCCTGATTTCAGCTGGGGAATTAAAGGACCGTGTATGACCCGGTGCTTCTGTGGGAGAAAGACGTGAGGCCCTTTAGCTCCCAAGAAGCAGCAATATTCCTCCTGGTGGCACTGCATGACAGCTGTGCTACGGTAGGAAGAGAAGAGCCCAATACAGCAGCATATTTAGATGCTTTAAACTTAAAGCATCTGGCTAAAATACAAATGCCACATCGCAGCCTGGGGGTGATGGTTCTTCAGTCAGGGGGTACATTGTTCTCATACTGCTTTTCTCTCATTATTCCTCCTTCACTTGCTTCAGAGAGGCTGCCTGCATTATCTTTCTCCCCTACATTATGTTACATTGTTTAAATAAAAAAAATAAATTTACTGCAGACTTTCAGACCAAAGATCCACCTGTCCTGTAGGGTGATCCCACACAATATTGTCTTGGTTGCCTTAGAGGAAACTAAAGAGCCCCTCTGAAGAGTAGCTATGAGGTGCTCCATGAGCAACTGCCTGAAAATAACAGAAACTCTCCCCAAAAGTGTCATGGGGTATTGATTCAGATTTAAGTGAGACTCTCAAGCTCCAGATCAAGTGGTTCCTTGCTATTGAATGAGCACTGGGAAAGCATTAAGACAATTTAGGAGCAGTAAAATTACCTAAAAGAAATACTGGGAATTTACCCCAAAACTAGCAAATTATCAGTGAACAGCCACACAGCTATGCCCTTTATTTTTCTTCTTTTTTTCTTGTAGGGAAGGGGAATGTGATAGCTTCGCAGATGAAATGCCCTCCATTTACACAGAAAGAGGGATGGGTTCTGTCTTGCCAAGCTATGACATCTAATAAATTAAAAGAATCACTTAGCAAGACAAGCAGCCAGGCAGCCAGCTAAGCAGCGAGACCAGAATAAGGTTCCACATCCTGACAACTCTACCTCTGTTAAGGCTGTCATCTTCAAGCATTTCTATAGTCATGGAGTACCAATACAAGAAAACTCAGGATTTTTTTTTTTTTAAATAAATTCTTTTTCTCCCCTAAGATTGTTTTTCTTTTAACACCTCCCTCCCAGTCTCCTAGGGCATGTTATACTTACGGGTCATTTGACTTGGGTATCAAAGTGCCTAGTTCTTTTATACGATCATTAATATTAAATCTTCTTCTTCGTTCAACTTTAGGAAAAACAGCACAAACGTTACAAGTAATATTCACACAATTAATTACAACATATAAAGTGTTTCATCAAAGATTTCTTTAAGCTCCTTTGAAATGTTCGCCTGAAGCTTCAAATCAAGCAACAGAGTAATTTATTTTGCTCTCCTATACATGGCCACGCTAAGACAGAAGTTCTGTCTAGACTGTAAAAATGTGTGACTGTTGAAGTGGCAGAGTTATACTGAGACACTAAAAACCAGTTAGCATAGGACTCAACTGAGAAACCAATGTTTTCCTGAGGAAAAGCATCACAGACAAATTCAGAGACAAAAATTTACATGCCCCAGGAAATCCCAAAGCGGGAAAAGGGAAAAAATGTACAGTCTCATTTTTCAAGTGCTCTTCCAGATGCAACATTTTGAGGATCCAAAAGTTAAACTTAAATACCAGTTTTCCTGCATTAGCTTTTCATGGGATGGAAAAGGCTTCTGAACAGTTCAAGACATTAAACAGTTCCTTTTTTTCTAGTAATATAAAGTAGAAAAGGACAACTTAAGGATCCTTTAAGTCATAAGATACTCACTATTTTATTTTTTTTTTCCAACTTGGAAATGTGTGTTCCTTTCAAAAAAGGAATTTATAAAATTGCCACATGGAGGATGTACACTGACATTTAAAGTCACAGATTGATCACGTATCTGAGATTTTAGACTAATTTTTTTAAAAAGGCAGAATTGTGTGAAGTGGATTTGTTAAAAGCAACTGGATCAAATGTTGTTCCCATTAATTCCATTGGTAACAACCACCTGCTCACTTGGCTTATTGAAAAAGTAAAAATAGAGTTTAAAATTCAATAGTAGATTTAAGCACACATTTCACAAGAAGTCAAGGCATTTGATCTGTGGGCATAACATAATGAACTTGTACTATATACTACATGCAGTCTCTCATTCAGATTTAAAACACCAACATTCAAACAATGCCTAAAATCATTGCTAGAATCAGTGCAAAATGCGAAGAACCAAAACTTACTCAAGTTGTGATTGTCTTTCTTTTGCCTCTCCTTAGCCAACGCTCTCGCTTCTGACTCTGTAGGAAAAATACATGCTGTGCATGTGAATGAAGTAATTAGAATTGAAGTAATTCAAACACAACATTTCAGTCTGTGAAACACTTGCACAGGAAACCTGATCGATATTTGTCAAACCAATTATTATACCTGTTCCAACAAGTGAGAAGAGCCTGTACAGTAAACTGTGATTGCCAAAACACAACACTGGTGTTGAACTTCACCCCTGCACCTGCGGAGCATCTCTTCCCACACTTCCCATACAGACTTCTGTGATTAGAATGTTTCCCACGGAGGCTCTGATTCAGCAAGGTATTTGAGGACAACAAACTGCTGAAATCCAACATACCTTCTCCTCCATTTACATACAGCTGGCACGCTTACACACAGAAGCTGAACCAGAGGAACAGCATGCTTATTGCATTGCTACCTGCACAGGATGTGAAGCAGTGAGGAGTCAGAGGCTCTGCTCACTGCAATTAAGGCTATGTCCTTTTGTGGCATGTGCATGCACATCACCACAGGACTCAAGATATAACTGAAGTACTAAAAATACTGTATTTTCCAGCTATACTAACTGTTCTCATTGAATGAAAAAAAGATGAAAAATTCCACACCTTTATTAGCAATAGTGTTAGAAAACAATGGTCCTTACTTCAGGAAAAGCAAAAAGAAAAATAATGACAACCATGCTGCACATCAGTTGTCTCAAACTATTCTTAACCTTGCTCCACACATTTGTTATCCAACTCCAGCATGTAATAGCTCAGGCAAAAGCATAACTAAATTTGTTATTTTCAGTTCTCATTACGACTTACATTTCTCAAGCAATTTTAGGGTTGGGTTTTTTTGTTTGTTCTATCCCTTTTGGTTTTTAAAAAGGGCAAGGTCATTAATCCTTGCCCTGTTGCACTTAGATCTCAAAACCAGCAAGCATTTTTTAGTTTTGCAGTCAGTCAGTGAGGACAAATGAACATGTGAACTATCATCATACAGTCCATTATGGAAATAAACCCCCTCACTCATTCCAACAAGTTTCTTTCCTGTGTTTTAATTTTTATGGAATATTATGTTGCACCCAATTCAAAATAACAGGTCGTAAAGGGTTCGGAGTACTGGAAGTTGACTACTTCACTTCTTACAATAGAGAGCTACCCCAATATTACATGCAGTATTACAAGACATCTTTTACACTAGGCTCCCAAAGGATCCCCAAAAAAGCTTGAGAGACTATTGCACATGTCAATGAAATCTGCGTTTAATCTGACATTACCTTATGAAACAGATACGAGGTTTGTAAGGACAAAACTGATGGAAACCGCACTCCCACGTGAGCAGGATTCCCATTAAAGCCTTCAGTATATAGATACTACAGCTGAGAACTCACAACCATCATCAACATCAGACACCAGGATAACAGATTTGACTTTTCTTGGTTCTTTGTAATTTTGATACTTATACAGGACAGAGAAAGGTTTCTGCAAATGGTAGATTTAAATACTGCAAGTTCTCTCCAACCTAACTCCAAGAACAAGATCAGGAAATGGAGAACCAAAAGACTCCTGCCTGCAGTAACATGCTGATTTTAAAATCTCAGGCTGTCAGAAAGCACCATCAACAGTGCTTTCTGCAAAAAGGCTTGGCCAGACCAATGTCAAAGTGACTACTGTTAAATTTGAGTTTAATTCCCAAATGCAAACTGCTAGCAAATATTTTTAACAGAAAAATCACTCATCTAAATTGTTTCTGTGTACAGCTAAATATAACATACAGACATTTAACTTAGTTGAGGTCTATTTTGATGTACTGAGGACTTCCATAAGATCACTTCACTCACTAATTTCCCCTCTCTGCCTTCTTTGCCTGAAGTCTCACACAACCATCTGCAGTGAATCCACCTGCCTGTATATCTGACAAGTTGGGTGTTTAGTTTTCAGTCTACAGCTACCTTTAACTTCCTATAACTGGGGCAATTAAACTAATGCAAGATTTTGAGTAGTTCTCATCCACTCCTACCTTCCTCTTAACATAATACCATCACTGTACAAGACTTTCTTTTTCTAGCAGCCACAAATCACTGTGCAGTTTCTGTGTCTTCATTTGGTGCTGAACTCAAATTTTGTGGAGTCATAAATGCAAATATCTGCCAGCTCAGAGAGCTGGCATTTCCTCCTGAGAAGCTGAGTCCTGGGCTATTAAAACTGCTCTACTTAAACCTCCTTCCCAGAACCTGCTTTGCAACTGAGTCAGCTGTGAGTTTTCACAACAGAAACCCAGAAAGACGACAGACAAGAATGAAACTATGTCTCTACTATACTGCATACAGTATAACTCTCTGTTGGGCTTAAGAACAGCCATTTCCAGGTATTAAGATGGTTTCATCATCAGTTCATCTCCATTTGTTCCTCCTGTACAAGCTTGCCTTGTATACCGGACCCTACACGTGGTTACATCCTTTCAAGTGAAGGAGAACAGTAAAAATAAAACATGCTTGAGAATACGAAACTTCTTCCTTCCAGCTATTTAGCTTCTTTACATGTGCTTGAGAGAAAGAGGCTTTTAACGTCCCCCTTCCCTCCCCTTGCCTCCCTCAGCTTATTCAGAGCACTTCTGGAAGAACCAAAATGACAAAAAATGTACAGGATACTTCATTTTCATCTTAAGAGATGCACATCTCTCTCTCGTGTCTAATTTTACATTTGATGTGATTTAAGTGTCTACAACAGTTCATTACTCTAGTTGGAGAGGGCAGTAAAGCCTCAACATGTGTCATTCCTCGGTATGTATCCCACAGACTCCAGATATGAAGTTGTTAAAGTTTGGTGTTGACAGAGCAAACAATAAGCCCAAACTAGAAAACAGTTCTGCGAGAGATGCATGGAAGCTTCCTGTGACACAATGTTTTCAATGTTCAGATTTCACTATAACAACTAGGGATTTTAACCTGTCACAGTGAACACACACATGCCCACACATGGACACAACTGCTTTGCAGGCTAATGCATCTGCTAAACAATGGGCTGTAAAGCAGAAAGTAACTATTCATCCATATATTCTTTCTCATAACAGAAATTATGTACAATATCACCTGAATTCAAAACAATTACACTATTGCTCCAAGGTGGAGCATATATTTATAGACATATTTACCTGTGAGCTCCCTTTTTATATTAGGAAGATTAGCTGGACATGAGTTGCTGATGTTTAGTCCTGGAGGAGGCATGCTTTGGTTGCCATAAAGGTCAATCAAATTGCCAGACACAGGCAACTGGAAAAGACAAACAAGGAAAAGGATTATTTGTCTCGCCCTTATGAAAGGCTTCGTACAGGAGAGATAGGATCTGCTAAGAAATCTGTGCTCTTTTCTGTGTTCAAACAAAGCGTGCAGTAAGGTCAGCAAAAGTCACAGATACGCACAGGCACGAGGAATAAACACCTACATTGGGAAAATTCTGTCTTCGAAAAATATGCAGACAGAGAATATGCAGAAGAGGTAACATGCTGAAAATATTGCTATATTATTGCTCCATATTTTTCAGTGCAACTATTACATATGTGCCTCCATCACTTCTCTTACTCAAAATATCTGAAAGAGCCTACAGAACATTCCTGGAGGAAGCCCCCATTCTTCCAGCAATACATGAGTGAAAGCACTTAGCAAGCTGTCACATGCCTGAGGGAGAACACTGTATTAATTAATCACATTTTTCATGTGATTTGAAAGCTACCTACACAGAAAACATTTAAGTTTACTTTAACTTATGTAACCAGAACACGCACCAGCAGGAGGAAGATTATTTTGACATGAAGCTTCCTCAATTACTTGTTCACTCTGTTATTCTTATTTAGGCATGTTTAAGGAAGGAAATTTATACAGAAATAGGACAGTATTCCAACAAGACTTATCAAGCTATCCCTTTAAATTGAAATGTATTTAAAGAAGTTTATCTTGAGTGGATTATTTTACCCATCTCTTTTTTGTTAGGTTTTGAAAAGACAGGTATAAAACACTTTGATATCTTATCCATGTAGCAATACTTATCACTGGCTGCTGCAAAGAAAACCAATCTCTCCGAGACATTGATCCTGCAGAGATTAAAGTATTAACTTTACACCCATGTAAATAACAGTGTTGAATACAATGGAGTGAGTCACGGCCTGGACTACTGAACTCCTACTGATGGTCCTTGCCACACTGAGACCTAAGAAAATTCCTCTGCCATCTGGAGCTACCACAAGAAGCAAAGCTGATGCGCATCCACTAAAGTACCACCAGCTAGAAACCATACTGATAACTTGTCTTCAACTGACAGTGGCCAACAAAACAAAATTAAGTCCCCTGACTCAATCTTTAAGTGACAGAGGAAAAATTTAACTGAATTCTCACCAAGATCCAGCCTTACAATTCCTCACCCTCCCCTTAGCTCTTGAATGCAATATTAAAAAAAAAAAAAAGAACACCTATAATAAATTTAAGGTCACAGCTGTCCATCACAAACTACAGTCCAACTTGTGATGTACCCGTATTCATGTCAGGGTGACCACTCTCTCTCTCTTACTGCTCTACAAGGCTGACCCTTGTATCTTTTGGCCCCTCAAATGCCTCCATGACACAGGCACAGCAATAGCGTCATACACCCTTCTGACTTGGATGTGCTTTTTCTATTCATGCTTCTAAGCACAGAGAGAGCACAAAGAACTTGTTTGTAGCCCAGGGACTTGAAGTTCAGAACCAGACATGTGAAATCTAATTAGGAATTTCAGGAAATAAAAAATTCTCCCCTCCTCCAATGAAATCTAGACACCAGCATCTCGAAGCCTGAGTAAAGCTTGTTACAATAGGTTTGCAATTTATTTCCCACCCCCCACTAAGGTATCAACACTGTCGAACTTCCATGCAAATAAATCGGGACCTGTGCAAGCAATCATCACAAAAGGGGAACGTAATGCAGGCAGCAGCTGCTGAATGTGCATGCTGAAAGCCCTGCTGGAATTGCAAGCACTGGAGGAACCATACCAAGAGCTGTGCAACAACCAAAGCACAAGTACTGCTGATGCAGCACTATCTAAATAAAGGAAGATGAAGGGAGAAATTTGCACAGCTGATAAATGTCGCAGTTTGCATGTACACGTGAACCCTTATCAAGGAAAATGACATTAGAGGTTCATGCCAACAATCTCAGTTTAAATCCGTAATCCACCAGCAGAGACCGATTGTCATATTTGACTACTCTTCTCAGCAAGCTGAACTCCACAGGTCAAAACTTCAGTTCTAACTTTTTACTACAAGTGTGCCTACGTATACAGTCCACACTCAGTATGAGCCTCTGAGAGGCCTCTTCTCCATGATGGCTGGAAGTCACATCTTTGGGACTAACTTTATACAACCCCTTTCACCTGAAAGGTGCATACAACATTTCCTCCAGTACAAAACAATAGGAAACTGTGTAAAACTCCCAGAGCCGTTTCATTGGGAAGATGAGAGTCTCAAAACTGACAAAGACATAGAATTTTATGTCCTTTTTCTGTTGCTAAGGAGGCTCCTCTCCTGCCTTCAAACTCCAGCATCTTTCCAACTTAAATATGCTTCCCTTAAGGCTTTATTAGTCACTTCTGTCTAAGAAGAAATTTAAATACAGCATCATTCAGATCATCCACCTCTACTCTCACAGAAAGTAAAAGAAGGAAGAGTGGCTTATGCCAGCCATAGCTTGTTGACTTCATTGAAACAGCGTGGTCTGGAAAGCTTTCATTTCTGAGATTTCATATTTCTAGGTCTCGGCTTCACAAAGTGCAAGAACAAATCACTGCTTTTATACAGCAGAAATTTCAAATAGTCATCATTACTGCAGATTCATGACATTCAGGGGAATCTGAGGCTTTCCTTTCTCGTTCACTACTCCAGCAGCACAAGCACCCACATTCAGGCTCTACATAAATCATTGAGACATCAGTTGTGTCATTAACAAGGCTGTTTCTAAGGTATCAGTACACGCTGGGAGGGATTCTGCTCTCCAGCTCGTGCAGCCTGCAACATATTGTGCTGTTCCCTTACAAGTATGCACTCAGCGACAGTCCCTGAAATAAGGCTCCTCTCTACTTCTAGAGTTTAACTTCCTCAGGAAAGTCCCATTTAGAAGTGGAGCTGCACTCACTCGCATGGCTTTCCATGTCAGACTCTTCCACAAAACTGATTAGTTGGATGAATTAGTTGTCGTCTCAATGGGGCATACAAGAGTACTTTACACAGTACCTAGCAATTCAATTACTAGATCATATCTACGCAGAAAACCCTCTCAGCAAACCAGTGACCATTTTGCGATACCTTTCATCGCAGAAGCAAAGCCAGTTAACTTGTGACCCAATACCAAAGTTTACAAACACTTCCACAAGCAGTTCATTGCAATGAGCCCTTTTCAATTAAGAGGTACTTGGAAACTTCCCTTAGCTCACACTACACAGAAATCTCCAATTTTGCTTATCAATTAAGTACTGTTACCAAATGTAACAAACTGGTTCTTTTGTTCTTTGTTGGCTATGGAACAATAGCAGCCTTTGTCATAGTCTCGGCACAGCTATTTATAGGTTGTGTCTCTTTAGAGACCATTTCCTCTTGATTTCTTCCACCTCTACTTAGCTCAGTCTACAGACATTAATTCCTTATTAGTAAAATGCTGGGTGTTTCAAGAGCTAAATCCTGTTCCAAAAGAAAAGAGTCTGTTACATCAGGTTCATTTTTTCCCCAAACAGACTGTTTGGAAACATGGTTCAATTTCCACCTCTACAGGATTGGTACCAGGCTAATTCAGAGACTGAAATATGCTTTTTGCCTCCAGCAATTTAAACGTATCAGTAAAGAAGTCTTCGTTCTACTATTTCATATCCTTATTTTACAGACTTCACAACATACAGTGGACCATTTCTGAAATTTCACAGCAAATGTGGATCGGGCAGTCTTCACAAGGCTTATCATCACACAGCAAATGGGAGGGATGCAGACTACCCTAAATATTGACTACATGGACTCCTCGCACCAAAAGAACGTAGTGTACCGTTATGTGCTTGTCTTGAAACAAAGAGCCACTGCTGGGGTCCCTGTGAAATGAGATAGGAAAAAAAGCACAAAAAGATCCAAGTCCCTTCTAATTTAATGGGTCCCAATCCAATGGAACTTCAGAGTAAAGACTCTAGAAGAACCTGAACCCCCCATTAAAAAAAAAAAAATCATTATCTTGAAAACTATCTTTTCATGGGTTTTTAAGTTTTCCTTTCAAACTCCAGGACAGATGCACTTTTCAAGTAATCTTAGATTAAAAGAAAATTTATTCTTTCTGGTAGGACTCTGCAGTTATTTCTCTGTCTACTCAAAGGGCACTATTTAGCGAAGACGCTGGTGGGCCGTTTCCTGCGGCACGCACCATGTCTCTGAGGGCTGCGGGAATCTGTCGGAGCATAGGACTAGGCTACATGACATCAGACAACTACTGTCAGCAAATGTAAACCTATGCTACAAAAATCAATGCTATGTGATAATCTGTAAATTTTGGCAGTAGATAAAAAAGAAACAGACGCCAGCACTGGCAGACATCTACTCAGCCAGATCTAACAGCACTTAAGCCTAAGGCAAAAAATTCACTGGAGCTACCCTCCACAAAAGATCAAAATAAGATTATGCCAAAAGTACGATTATATTAATGCTCACCGCAATGTGAGCCAGCAAAGAGAAACCGCAACTCGGAGGTAACCGCACCTCTGTGTTCTTGTCTTTTTTCACAGGCTTCCTACATCCCCTTCTCCCATTCTGTTTATTAAGTTTCTTTATTCCTTCCCCTTTTCTTTGTTGAAGGTTGGTTTTTACATTATTTTTTTTCCTCCGTAGATTTCGTAATATCTTTGCTGTCATGTAGTTAGGGACTTCTGTCCATTTGAAATGAGGTTAAGCTAAAGCTATGATGTTAGAGCTAACAGTTAAACTAGAGCGCTTCCAGACAGGGATGCTTACACATGCTTAAGTGTGGCATATCATTTCTTACTTGAACATGACAAGATACAGGAACTGTGGGTGCCGGAGGTTTCTTCTAGGCTTTCTGAAGCCAAGTGTAATGTCCACAGCAATCTTTATATCAATGGGTATGAGCTCACTTCTGTAAGTTCAGTTCATTCCTCAGTTACAATCATCTAACTGATTTTGAAATAAGAAAAGCAAAATCGTCCTTTGTATTCCCTTGACCTGACTCCAGCTTGTGTTTTTAAATTCGTGTTTTCCATTGCAACTGTGTACCTTAAACACTTCAAAGAAAATCTAATTATCCTCTGTGGAACAATACAATAACTAGTTAACTGCTTGTAGAAAAAGTCATGCTACAGTTCTGCATTCTCTTGAGGCAAGACAATTAGACTTAATAGGGAAACCAAATGGAAAGGATCGTTGTACCGTATTTGCCATTTGCAGAGCTGGGTCCATCAAGCCAAGGATTTCTTCATTGTAACTTGACTCCAGACTAATTATGTCATCAATCACATCATCCATCTGCAGCAGAAAAGATGGACAAAGAAAAACAAACCAGTTATCAAAACCTCTAGGATACAGAAGCCTGACAAAGCACTTCAACCACGCACCAGCTCTCTGCATCACAGGCCCAAGAAGAGGTGTCTGTGCAGTTCTCCCACACTCCAAACCCAGCTCCTCAGCCATGACTCCTGCTATTTAGCCAGGACAGTCTGGCTGTGATAAAGCTGAGGCTTCATGGTCTAACCCACTCCTCCCACCAGCGGTTACCCTGCACTACCTGCCCACAGACACACTGCTCCTACCGGGAAGGGTGGAAGAGACACCGTAGCTTGTTCTACCAGGAGCTAACAACATAAGTCTCTCCACCCCATGCAGCACTGCCTGCCTGCCCTGCACCTCTTCCCTCTAGATATGGGGTCAAAACTGGCGTACAAACAGTAAAATGCCTGAGTCCCTGACTCCTGTAGGGGAAGGAGAGGGAGCAAAGGCTTGCTGCTGGGCGAAGGCTGCCTGCCTTCAACAACAGAATCTGTTGGGATTCATGTTCCTCACAGACCTTCCCAGGAAGCACCAACCAAGAGCAGATCGGAAATGATTTTAGGTGGTGCAAGCCATCTCCTTTCTGGGGCTGGAAGGTGCCTCCATAAGCTCCTGCACGGTCAGGAGAACAGAGCCCTCCAAAGCACCTGTGCAGGTGCTCCAAACTGTCCTGCAGGACTGACTACTTCCTTTTTGCTCACTATAGAAAAGGAGCTTGAGTGACAGTCATATGCAAAATCAATTCATAAAACTGATGGTAGAAATAGTAGTATATGGGATTTTCGTATTGGCTCAAGAAAGTGTGATCAGAACAAACTACACTGACTGGAAGTGATGGCAAGAAAGGAACTAACAGTTACAGCCTGTATCAAGTCTTGTTACTAGAAATAAAAACTCCTCAGTCTAAAAAACCAAAACCTTAAAATAAAATAGAAGGATGACTCCTGAGGACAAATTACCACAGATGGATTAAAGCCTTCTCATATCATTTTTTAAAATGCAAGTGTGATCTGCACAGAAATGTGGTCTTAGAAACTATCAGGACAAGAACACATACATGCCACCTTGGGAAAACTGCATTAGTAAAGATTTCCTGAAGTCAGACCTTAAAGCATGGTTGATACATTCTTCTGCTAGAAAAGCACTAGCCCTCTTCAGATGTTTGAAGGCACTTTTGACAGCAATGCTAATAACATTATTGTTTTGTTTCTTAAGTACATCTGATATTCAACTTCTTAAAGACACTACAGGGCAAGTTTATTCTTCAACATAACTTCAAAGAAACATGCTCATTAGAAAGGGGACCTGTGCTCCAGCTCCTGTGTCATCCAGTACCTGCATGCATGATGCTCGTGAGTGTGTATTCAGAGGCGGGCACTCACTCTCAACCCTGCTTTGCTCTTCAAATTTATAAAATCCCTGCAGAAATAAAAAAGGAAAAAAAAGAAAAAAAAAAGAAAAAGCAAAGCATGGATCTGAGTTCATGGCACAGTCTCAGTCCCAAAAAGAGCACGATTGAAACAGTGTCATGCACACATGTGCCTGATGACACAGCAAAGTGAAGCTGTAAATATCTTGAGGAAAAAAAAAAAGAAAGATTTGGGTACAACTGGGATAACAGGATGGAACTATTTGATTTTCATTTCTTCTGAAGCTATGGAGCACAAGTAATTTATCTTGCATGTACAAAATATGTTCTGTTTCTCAAAGTTGCATAACATTTTCCCCTCACAGAGTGCATCTGTATTAAAAATCTGGCAGAAAGGCTTGAGGAGAGAGGCTGAGGAGACACAAGAAGCTCTATAATTGTCTCCCATTTGTCAAGTTACAAAAGCATTGACATGATTCTTCATCCAACTAAGTTTTTTCCAGCAAAGATTAAGACAAGTTATGAGGGGCTTCTAGGCATAGGGTAGCGAAATCTTCTATTTGCAGCACTGCACTCATCCCGAAACACCAACCAGTAACATTTTAGGGTATATTAGCTGGGATAATCTAGCCTTCCAGCTAAGTAAGAGACTTGCTCAAATTTTACTGTGAAAATATCTAAAATATCTCAAAAAGCTTTGTGTGTTTCAGTTATTTTTGCTATGCTCTTTGCCCTTTCTACACGAGTGAGCCATAAATAACATTATTCCAGAAAGCTACAGCTTACAAAACTGCTTTGTATTCTCTAAAGGTCAATTATTCACTGTGTGCACCAAGCAAGGGGGGGGGGAGAGTAGTTTTAATAAGCATTAACTAGCTAAAATAGTTCAAAAAAGAGGAAGTTAGAGGGACACAGTTTTTTTGCCAAAATGGTCTATGCAAATATATATTCAACAGGCAGACACAGAGGTAGTAGTTGCATTTTCCAAATAAACAGTTCAGAAAAGAATATAAACATGACATCTTTCTAACAAGCAAATACAGTTTAAAACAGAAAGAAAGCAGATCGCAATTCCATTTTACTGAAAAAATATGCATAACAAGAGCCTATTACCTCTTTCTCACAGTTGGAGTTAAGGGTAAGCATAGCCATCGGACTGTTGGGTGCGCTGCTTCCAGTTCCAGGCGGCATGACATGATCACCGGGCTGGTTTGGACATGGCAAGCTCAGGGCTTGGTTGGCATGTTTATTTGCTAGAGTGGTAGAGAGGTACTGCTTTACCTGCTGCCGCTGGGCTTGCTGAATATGGTACTTGGTTGGATTCTCAAGGTGAGTCTGCACCTGGATGACACAATTTAAAAAGTGCTTTGTTATTTTACAACATAATTATATGTGTTATCGATTTGAGCTATACATTTGTGACATATATACCAGCTAAGCATTTGACTTGAAATACAAACCTGTGCAGCTCCAACAGCGCTTCACTAATTCGCATTCGGTGGCAGTTTATGAACTAGTGTTTCAACAATTGACTTAATAACGATAAACCAAGAAGTTCCACTTATTTTTCTACAACATGAGACTTCTCACCTAAGACCAATGCTCAGGTTTTCCAGTTTATATAGGTACTCCAGAACAGATGGTTCTCCATTCCGACCTTCAGCTACGCAATATTTAGTTTTCACTAAAATACGGAGAAACAAGTTTCACTGCAGGACTCATTTTACTTATTAGTATCTACCAATAAAGACCAAATAGTACGGATTGCTATCCTTTATGAGATGTCAAGTAACAGAGATCAAAAGGTTTGCTGTTGGGTTTTTAGGTTTTGGTTTGTTGTTCTTCTTTTTTTTTTAAAGTAACACATTGGCTAAAAAAAAAAAGGAATAGACCATTTTTTTTGCCTAAAAATAATTTATATCTCAGATATATGGCCTAAATCATATACAAATAAGACAACCTGTTTATAAACACATTATGCAAATACGATGCAAGAAAAGAAGTGTTTTAGTTCAGATCAATCACTGTCCTCAGCAACAGCTATTTTTGTATTTAAGATATGTTTTTCAATATTCAGAATTTTTTTTATATACAAAATATGAAAAAACCTCATACCGAACTATTCTCACACACCCTAAATAAGCAAGAGAATAAAGGCGATTTTTTTCCACGCAAAGTCTTCAACAATATCCTGGAAACTCTTTGTCACCTTTTTTTGTTCATTAATATTTTTTTTGGAAGATAGAAAACCAAAAATAGAGCAATACGCTGGAAAGTTTTTTTTTGGTTTAGAACAGTTCCACTAAAGTGACATCTGCTGTTACAAGTGACCATGTAGGTCCCCCACTTATTTTGGTGGAAGAAATTAAATAAAGCAGACTAGATATCAAAGGAAAAGGATCTTCTGTATACTGTAAGCCTTCTTAGCAACAGGTTTTAAAATAAATCTGCAATAACTACTCACCTGATAATGATTATACTCAAGCATTTCCAGCATGCTACTTATAGGTTGAGAGAGAAGTGACTGCAATATCCTTTGCTCTACACTAGTCCAGTTTGAGGGATTCACATATGGAAGCACCATAAACAAGCCACCCTAAAACAGCAGAAGGAACTTGAATGCCACTGCTCAGACTTATAGTAACCTACGCTAATTAGCCACGCATGTAGAGAAACAAACAGTTCACACAGGGGCTCTTCTTGGAAGCTATGCAAGTTTAGCCCTAAGTATTGGTATTATTTTTTTCACTGGCTTTGACGTCATGCTTTTTCATAAACATAAAAGGACCTTTTAAGTGATGGGCTATCAAAGTCGGATTGACAGTTTGCTCAAGGCTAATTCGCTATTCATCTTTCGTTCCAGTCGTACTAATAGACAATGGTATTTTTCTTTAGCAGTAAGGTTAAAAGTTTTTAAGTACGGAGTAAGAAATAACTGAACAAAATGCTCTACAAGCCTAACGCACATCCCCTGGCAGTGGGGTGCACTGGATAAACCCATGAGGCTACATAGAACTATCTTCAGCTTTCAGGCGCAGCGGTCCACCACCCTGCCCCACGCAGCCACCGATCCACCTAGGACCTGCAGCTGAACACAAAGGATTTGAAAAAGCTCTACCATGTCCTCATGGACCTTACTTTTCTCCTTCTATCCAACTCCTCAACAAAAGCTTGTCAAGCACAGACATCAAAAGCTGCTCAACTTGCATTATTTTCCAAAGTCTTTGCTGCACAGGAAAACACACTTAAGATAGCGTTTCTAGAGTTTAATCTGATTTGTCACAGTAAATCGCAACACAACACAATACAGAAGTCTGCTGTGATAAGTACAGCACTTGCTTTGTCAGTCCCAAACTGCATTATAAATGTCTTATCACCAGTGGTAAGAGTTACGCTACCCAGATAAGTCTATTTTTCCCTTTAATTTTCATTTTCTGAGTAGATAAAGTTATCAGTAAATGAGTTATTTTCGTAACGCTTATCTTTGAATACGTTATTTTAAAAACAAGCCCTACTTGTCCAACAGAACTTGCACATTCCTTTTCCTCCACAGGCATCAGATACCCCGGCTGTTCTCCCTCAACCCTGCCAGGGCGACAGGACGGAACAAAGCCTCTCCCCTCTGCATCCATCTCCAACCCAGCCTTCACGCTCCCAGCAGAGGGACCAGCAAAATTCCAACATCCACATCTCAACTGTGCAGCATTAATTATATTCTATTATTTATAATATACACTAATACACTAAACCGACTCCACTACATGTCAACTTTTGAAACACTCACTGCCTAATTGACATAGGATTTTTGTTGGCAAAACACATACTTAGTATATTTCACAAGAACATACTTTCCAAGATTTTGTTGTATTATCTATTATCCTACATTGTAATAGTTTGTGCTATTTCATTACTCCATTTTTAATTTTTTTTTTTTTTTTTAATGGGCTGTGCTGCCCTCAATATGCCAGGGAAGGCAAGAGGAAAAAAAAAGTTGTGAACCTTAAACAAAGGAGCTGCATTCTTTCTAAAAATTTAAGTTGCAGATTTCTGCTTAATACAGAACTGTAACTATTCTCTGAGAATCTTAAACTTGCTGAGAAATGCGTCCTCTTTGGTATACAGCAACAGACCTCATCTGCAGTTCAGAAGCTACTGTCTCCCTTTTTTCTTTTTTTTTTTTTTTTTGGGTGGGAGGGGGGAGGCAAGGAGGGAATCTTTCTACCTCTGCCCACACTTACAGTGAATATAACAGCTAGATACTACATATTAGTGTGCAACACAGCTGCCAAGGCAAATTATAATCTAGTCAATTTAATTTCTGACACACCCCACAGTCACTTTGTCTCACAGAAAAAGTTAACTTTCTGGAAATATTCTGAACAGACTTATCCAGTAGACCACATTTTCATGTAGAGTCAACTCTTGCTACACATGGTTAACAAGTGACTCTGAGGAAACTCATTTACTATCAGGTGGCTGGGCTTCACGTCAGCAGCAGCGGAGAAGATACTCTATTGCCTTTACAGAAAAAAACTACCAGAAGAACCATTGTCATTATACACTAGATAGGCACAGTTCTCCAAGGACACGTTGCCTTCTCACACAATGGAAATGGCTTCACACACGTTCCTTCTTGGACAGACATAGCAGTTTCAGCTACCTTTGCTCTAGCCAAACGTGAGGCCCAACAGGCTATACAGAAGGCATCTCAGAACCTTCACTTGGATTCTTTGTCGTGTCACTTACTGCCCTCTTGAGCACTTGCCTTATGAGGTCCATTATCAAAATCTGGTGGAGACTACCCTTATGAACTCAGTGCTTTTTGTTGTGACTAACTCTGTCCTTGGCCTAGAGCATTCTTTTCCGCAGTCTCTACTTCAAAGAGAGCCCAAATGTGCCTACTTGGGCAAGTGTCCCAAGATGCACCAGTCACGGTCAGTCTGTAAACAAGCCACAAAGCAGTCTTGCTTTTTGACAAAATACCTCACAAGCAAAGAGCTGCAAAACCAACCCTAAAATGAAATTCCACTACCCCAAAATTTGAAACCATGGATAAAAGCTTTGACTGAATCAAGATCTAATTTTGGTCCTCAGGCCCTTCTTGCCTTTGGGATGAAGAATAGTTCTTGTTGTTCCTCCAAATTTATGAGACAAAGTGTAAGACAAAGAATATACCAAAATGAATAAAACTGTCATTAAGAAATGTGTGTAAATGGGGACACGCAAGAAAAAGGAAGCAACCTGAAACTGAATCGTGTGGATCTCCAACCATCTCTCTACAGGAATCTCAACCCAAACTTTGCTGTAATATTACTAAACTGAGTAGAAGATTAATTTTGGACATTTTGGTAATGGTGAGCAAAAAGTAATGGAAAGAAGTGATGGAAGTATCATTCCAGAACATTGGAAATCATTTAAGACAAGGTGGCAAAACCAGCTAAAATTATCACACCACAGTAACAAGCTACAAGAAACTTGGCTACAAGGACAGCTAAGTGGCAGCCGACAGCCTGGATTCAGCCCAGAAACACCTGGAAGAAGGCTGTACTTTCAATTTGTATCAGGTGCATTTCAATTTCAAGGTACTGCTTACATAGGTAACAGAATAACACTGTCTTAGAAGTAGAAGCCTAGAACTAGTTTCATGCTAAAACAGCCTCTGATGCCAGCTCACCAGCATCCCCACTTAGCTCCATGAGCTGGCTCTGTGCACTATCACCGCACCAGGTACTGCTGCACTACAAGTCTCAGGGGTCAGCGATTCAAGCTCCATCCATTCTTGCCATGCTAACAAGAGCTAGTAGGTTTTGTCTTGAGCTGAAGCACTCTGAAAAGAAATCAGCTTGTCTGCACCCATACATAACCCACGTTAGGCCCAGAAAGGCTGAGCTGGGCTGAATAAGTTCTGGATGGAGCCACACTAATTACTCAGCACTTGTCTCTCTCTCTCTGGAGTATCCTGGAGAACAACGTTATCTCAAGCAGGGGAAAGGCTTTCTCATACCTTCAACTAATCTCAACATCTGACTGCTAATTCCAGGGCATACATCCAGTTCAAATATCTGAATGGGGGGAAAAAAACCAGTTCCTGAGAAACTGCCCATTTTCTTCCACATCAAAGACACAATAGTAATAACCCATATACATATAGGAGATTTTTTCCAGCCCTTGGGTCTAGAGTCGATCAAGCAAACATTTTATCAATGGTTTTGACTAGTTTTAAGCATACACACCATAACAGTGGGAATTTTAGATATACTTCAGACTACATTCTTCAAAATCCTTGTATTATATTACCCACCACTAACAAGACTCCTGAGTAGAGTCACATAGCTCCTTCAGTTTGAAAAACAAAAAATATTTCCTGTTAAGGTGATCAGGGGCTCAGTAATTTAAACACAAAGCATTGCTGCATGTTTAAGCACAAAGCATACAACTCAAATAGTTCCTCTGTATGAAGCCAACACAAGCAACTGAAACAATACTTCTGCTCTCAGAGGGTATGCATAGACCAAATCCCTTTTACAGAGGCACACAGGGGAGCTCTCTCTTGGGCAGGCACAGGGCAGGGAAGCCTATTGGCTTGGCCAAGCATTGTGCACAGTGTAATCCAGAATGGCTAATGATTAACATAATGAGGAACCACAATAAAAAAAAACCCAGTAACTAGTTGTAGTTTTAACACCAATCATGCTCTAGGAAAACTTCAAGTTCATTAATTACTGCAGGATCAAGCTTTGACCCACCAGTACTTCTCGATGAAGATAACTAGTTAGTCTATATTATTTATATACTTCTGAATTTGTCCATGCAAGGACTTGGTTTGTTTGAAATAGGTAACTGCAGGAAGGAAGCACAAACCCAGAACAGCTTGTGTTAAGAGTATGTCCTCAAGGTGGAATGCTGCTTACTGGCTTCGCCATCTCAGCTACTATTAAAATCACAATGCCTTACTTGTCACATCTCCAAGTGCCACTGCTTTCAAACTTCTCTTGCCATCCAGTGACAGATAAGAAAAAAAAAAATTATCTGATTCAGTGTGATCACAGAATAGTTTTGTATGAACAGCCTTAGGTGCTGCATTATAAAATAATAAGGATACTGAAGTTATACAACTCTGAAGCACTTAATAGTTGTTTTACTCACTTGTGGCCTCTCCTGTAACTATTGAACAATTTAACATGCAATTATCACCAAAACTTTTGCAGATATCCAGACTCATGTGCCCACATCACTCACATGGAGTGAAGAAAAAGCAACGGGGTCGAGCAGAAAAACCATTAGAACAAAACATTAAATTGAGGAGAACAAAGCCAATTTTGAACTAGCCACACTTGAAGCCCCGATGTTGGAGCAGGACTTGTCCCCCCTGAGGACAGCAATCCCACCCCACCGGCACAGGTCTCCTCAGGCCCAGCCACCTCCAGGCCCCAGCACCTCCTCTGCCACCTCCACCTTCCCTGCTTTTCATGGCAGATATCGCAGCCCTGTCTCTCT